TCTTAATCCATTTACATATAACCTGTTTTGCTGTAAGGGCTATTATGCAGGCAAATGTCAATGGATTTGTTAAAGCCTACCAGTAAAATCTGTGCCTGACACTCCCAGTAAAGGAGTAGTGAATCAAGCCACCTCACTGACAGCATATTGTCACTCTGTTACAGGAGACTCATTTGCCCACCTCTGGCCATGATGCACATGATGCAGCTGGCCATGACTTGACTCCTCCACTTGGTCCTGAGCTTAGAGGACCTGAGGGCCCTGCCTTTGCAGTGGATCCAAGAGGCCAGATCCCAACACCTCCTTCTCCATGAAACATCTGTGGAGGTACTGGATGGTATGTCCCACCAGGTGACTTTGTGGGCCCACCGTTTCCTCCAATGCTAGGTAGGTTTTGTTTTAAAAGTCTGTATGTTTCAATGTTGATCTGTGCTTAACTTAAAGTTTGGTTCTTGATTCTGTTAGAAACAGTAGCCAGAACCAACTTGATAGGGAAAGGGTTGTGAGGGCTCTCAGTTCACAGTCCAAAAGTCTCTGATGTCAAGTCTTCACCTTGATACACATTATGGAATTTTGAGAATGAATTGTGTCTGACAGGCCAGAAGAACAGTAAATGTGCATGTTGTTTTTGTTTTCATTGTCTGTTTTCCTTTTTTTCTCTCCACTTCACATGGTGAGCCTGTCCTGGAATTTTCTGTTCATCAGGCCTCCCTAACATCATAGATATCAACATATATTTGATTCCCAGGTGCGGAGAGTAATTCCTGTGCCACACATGCCCATCTGCAAACCGTTTTCAGATTAAATTTCTGTCTCTTCATTGGCAGATATCTCATGAATGTGGCAATGCTTCCATCTTCTTTCTGTGTATCTCATTCATGTGTGAGGCATGTGAAGGACAGAAGGAGCCATCAGAGACCACACCATTCATGCTGTGTCAGATATAGGCATGTAAGCTAATGTGTGTATGTGTGTAAGGTTAGTTTTGATGCCATAGTAATGATTTCCTATACCCTTCACCACTTAAGCCATTTATCTAGACCTTTATTTTGTCTAATATTTTTGGCTTGTAATCCAATGTATGTGTTGAAGATTGGCTTTGATGCGAGAATGAAGGGCTTCCTGTATTTGGTCGTAATACAAACTTATTCTTCCATAGCTTCCATCATTCTTCTTAAGGCATTTACATAGATCCTGTTTACCACACAAGGACATTAGGCAGACAAATATCAATGGATATGTAAAAGACTACCCGTAAAACAATTTGTGTTCTTGTTCTTAATTAATTATCTAATTTAATATTTTTATATACAGTCGATTGATTCCTTCAGGATGTCTTCAGCTATCACTAACTATTCACTAATGTAGGGAATGATGTTTATCTACTATAGATATTAAAGTAACTAATATTAAGAAATAATAAAATTCAGAAATTTCAATTTTCATTGTGTAATTTTTGCATTATCTATAAGGGTACCTACCTATAAACTGAAAGTATATGATATGTACTGAGGGAAAGTTTGGCACACCTTGAAAACAGGAAGTGCATGTTGTATCCGAATTTGTTCCTTTAGGGTGACAGGTCAAGTTTGCCAAGTGTCATTTTTATGCATCAGCCACATACTACAAAAGTATGTCCGTAATTTTGAATTTTGTCTAAGTCTATGGCCACTTCTTGTCGACCTGTTCTATCTCCCAGAAAGGGGAGTGGAACAAGTCACTGTCATTTGGATCTGGAAATGGTCTGGGAATAATGTGAGAACTCATGAGTTTCACTGGTTTCATTTTTCGGTCTAGATATACCAGTAACTTCCACATTGCAATCTGGTAGGAGTGCCACCAATCATGACCCTGTGGTAAGAATTAGAAATTGTATTCTACCTATAGATAAACAACTGGTTTCTTATTTTATTAGAACAAGGCTAGAGTTGTTTCATATGTGATATTAATTAAATATACTTTCAATCATCTGTAACACTTTCATTGTTGGCTTGTAACTTTCTGTTAAATTTTACAGAATACAAGCCAGAGTTTGATGGTCCATGCATTCCTTGCAATTTGCTGGCTGACCCAGGAGGAGGGGAATTTCAAGCCAGTCTGGGTTATTTAAAACAATTTGCCTCAAAAAATTCACCTAGAGTAGAGAAATGGCTTACACTTTTAAGACCACTGGCTGGCTCTCCTACAGGACATGGGTTTAACTCCCCGCTCCTGTGTGGTTGATGACCATCCTTCTTAATTCCTGTTCATGGGATATGATGACCTATAATATATTTCCAGAATATTGAATGGATACAATATGTTGAAATACATGCAGGCAAATTCCCATGTCTCTGAAATAAAAAATATCCTAAAATAAAGAAACAGAGAAATAAACCAGATATCTCTCACTTCAAGTACTACACTTTTAGATGAATTCCAAGGTTGTTTCCTTTCAGTACCCTCTTTCAGATTTTCTTTCTTGAAATCTTTTTGGGATCCTATTATGCATGTATTTTACTTATTATATATGTATTTATCCTGCACATTGTTTTCTGGGAAGAATGCCATCAAACATCATCCTAGCGTAAGTACTGAACATTGAATTCTACCCGTGGATGCACACCTAGTTTCTTGTTTATTTTAGAGCAAGGCATGAGTTAAATATACTTGCAGTTAGCATTAACTTTCTTTGTTGGTCCGTAACCTTATGTGAAATTGTTTAGCTCACTAGCCTTTGTTTGATGGTATATGTGTTCCTGGCAGTTTCCAGAGTGAGGCAGTAGGATGGGAATATATAAGCCAGTGTGTGCTATATATGCAGAATGTGCTTCATTAAACCACACAGACTTGAGAAATGGCATTCAAGTTAAATGCATTGGCTCCTTTTCTACAGGACCTCGGTTTAATTCCCAAGCTAGGAGTGGTGGCTCAAAATCCATCTTACCTCCAAGGGATTTGCATATTCTATCCTTACAGAACACTGAATGACTATAGTATGCAGACATACATACAGGCAAATATACCATATCTGTGAAATGAAAAAAAAATACTAAAATAATCCAACAAGAGAAAGAAACCAGATATCTCCCATTCAAGAAGTTGAACTTTTACGTGAACTTCCAAGCTTGTTTACTTGCTTTACACTATTTCATATTTTCTTCCTTGGAATCTTATTTGAATATTAATATGTATTTTACTTTTCATATGACTTTGTCATTTTATAAATGTCCACATATCAATCATTTTCCTGTGTGTGTGTGTTCCATTAAAAAGTGTCTATGTTTTCTTTTCTTTTCTATTTTTTTTTTAACTAGAGATAGTGTTCCCATTAGATATGGTGCCAGTCATGGACCTCACTGAATTTTTTTGAATTCCTCAATTTCTTTCCAGCCTTTACAATTGAAAATAATAGTCATTTGTTGTTTATACAGCATAATTTTCTCTTTTGCTTCACATGTTCCTATACGGTAAATAAAGTGTTTAAGTACTAGTCTAGAACCAGATCAGTTGTCCTAAGTGTCTGTACTTTGCCTTGGCAACTACTCTTAACCTTCTAGGAAAATGATATGAGAATTTTGGAGGGAATTTATTTCATTGGCAACACAGGAAATGTATCTTGTAGGATATCAGGTCAGTATCATACTGGGAATGTTAAGTCTGTGAGATTTACTCCATTGAAAATCTATTTTACAGTAAGTCTCCAATGTGTTGAGATCTTGCATAGCTGCCAAGATAGAGAAAATATACCTGAAATTGCTGGAGACATTCTTTCTTATTAGTCCTATGTAGCTAAGAAGGGTTTTTTTTTCAATGTCAAGAATTATTTCTTAGATCAAGTAATGTCTGAGTGATGGGATATCAGTACAAGTGCTGAAGATTTCGGTTTTGTATTTGGGCTTTGAACTTAAACTGTCCTTTACCCATCTCTTGGAACATGAGAAATGTGATTGAACCCAGGGCATTTCCATCTTACCTCACCGCAAGATCCGAGTTTTTACCAACTCCCACATCATGAGGCAGGAGTATGGTACATTCAAAGCCAGTGTAGCCAATATACATAGATTGTGAATCAAAAAACTACTGAGCTGTAGAAATGCTAACAGGTTAATAGCACTGGCTGCTCTCCCATAGGAGCTGGGTTTGAATTCCAGCACATGATTTCAGGCAGACAATTCTTCCTACATCCAATTTAAGGGACCTGAAGCCCTATCCTATCATTCTTTCATAATGAGTTTATAGGGCTGGAGAGATGGCTCAGCCATTAAAGGCTAGGCTCACAACCAAATATTTAAAAATGAATTTGTCGAGTATGCAGATATATATGCAAGCAAGACACCCATTTCTTTGGCATTAAAAATATACAAAAAAAAAAAAGCAAGAGAAAGAAACTTGATATCTCCTACTTAAAAAAGTACAACTTTTAGAAGAACTTCAAAGCTTATATATGTGCTGTATACTATTTCAGATTTTCTTCCTTGAAACTTATTTGACTCTAAACATGTATTTCATTTTTCAAATATAAAATTAATTTGGATCATTTTGAAATCACCAACATGTTAAACATTTTCCTATGTTTGATAAAAGTTCTATGTTTTGTGGGGTTTTGTTGTTGTTGTTGTTTTTTCCTAGAGATAGGATTTCCCAGTAGATCTTGAGTTAGTCCTGGAAATCACTCTATTGACCAGTCACCCTCATTCTGACAGATATCCACCTTTCTCTAATAGACAAGTTCTGAGATTTATGGCCTAGGCCACCATATCCTTCTGTAAATCTGTTTTTAAAAGTGTCTATTTTGATCTGCTTTTACTGTACTTGTGTTTGAGGTGGAGCTAGGTAGAGGATTAGTTCCATCCATAAAGCTTTCTGTTGAGATAGTAACTTCTGACTGTGAATAAGTGGCTCTCACACTCATGTGGAAACCTCAGCCTGTTCCCAGGCTTTCTGGAATTCCTACACTCACAGGAAAGGAGCTATGAATCAAGAAGCTTCACTGACTGTTGATTGTGACTCTATTACAGAAGGCACCTTTCCCCATCTCTAGCATTCCTGAATGCAATGCGGTTGCTCATGATTTGATTCCTCCACTGGATCCTTTGGTCAGAAGCCCTAGAGGCTCTGCCTTTCCTGGGAATCCAAGGGGCCCAATCCTGCCTCCACCTCCTCCTGGAAACATCTGTGGAGATTCCGGACAGTATGTCACACCCAGGGACTTTGCAGGCCCACCTTTCTCTCCAGTGCCAGGTAGGCATTTTTAAAGTCCCTGCATGTGTCAATGTTTGTCTGTTCTTTTCTTCAAGTTTGGTTTCTGTTACTGGGATAAATACTGGCCAGAACCAACTTAAGGGGAAAATAGTTGTCATGGTTCAAAGATACATTCCATCAACAAAGTAAGTCAAGGTTTCACCTTGATCCACGTCAGGGAACATTGAATTTGGACTGTGCTGTGATAGGCCAGAAGATCAGTAAATGTACAGGCTGTTTGTGGGGTATTTTTGCTTATTGTTTTATTCTCCCCAAGGAAAAGTTTCTGTATATGTTGGAAGACTGCCCTGGAACTCACTCAGTAGAACAGACTAGCCGTGAACTCACAGAAATCCACATCTCTCTGCTTCCCAAGTGTTGAGATTAAATGCCTGTATCAACAATGCCCAGCTGCAAGTAGTTTTTAGATTTTAATTATGTGTGTTTCATTTCATAGGAATGCATTGGGGCCATTATTTGTATAATTAGTTATATATTTTCTAAAAGTTTTTTAAAAGTAGTTTCAAGTATTCCTCCTGAATAGCAGTTCCCACATGATTATATTTTATTTTTGTAAAGAGGGAGCCATACAATTTTTATTTTTTGTTTATTTAATTTTGTTTATTGTTTGTTTATTTGTTTATTTATCTTACATATCAATCCCAGTTCCCTCTAGCTCACTTGCTCTTTCCCTCTCTCCCATTCTCGCATGCCCTCAGACCACCCTCCACTTCCACCACCCCACTCCATATGTAGGGTGATGCATTCCAGGAGGGGTCACCTAAATCTGTCAAGTCATTTTGAGTAGGGAATAGGCCTCCCCTTCTGCCTCCAGGTTAAAGGAATGGGCTCCCAAAGTCTTCTGTGCACCAGGGAAACATCCTGGTGCCTCTGTCCAATGTCCTTTAGACTGCCCAGGCCTTCCAACTGAGACCCATGTTCACACAGTCTGATTCATGATGGATTCCCAGCTATCAGTCTGTGGGCCCATTAGCTCCTCCTTGTTCAGGTCAGCTGTCTCTGTATGTTTCTGAAATCTGGTCTTGTCCTCCCTCTCTGCATTAGATTCCAGTTCAGCTTAGAGTTTAATTGTGGGTGTCTGCTTCTGTTTCTATCAGCTACTAGATGAGAGCTCCATGATGGAGGATAAGTTAGTCGTTGATCTCCTTATCAAGAAATGGCAGTATGGTAGCCTTTCCATTGATGCTCAAATTGTTAGTTGAGGTCAGTCTTGTAGGTCACTGGATATTTCTGTAGAGTCAGTTTTCTCTTCAAACCTTTAATGGCTCCCTCTTTTATGGTTCTCTCTGTCTCTCTCTCTTTCTCTCTCTCTCCTCTCGTCTATTGCTACTCTGACTCAATCTTCCAAAACCCACATGCTTTCCTCTCCTCCCCTTCTCTTTCTCCTAGCTCCCTCTACACTCACTGTTGGCCTCCCACTTCCAAAATGCTCAGAGATGTTGTCCCTTTCCCCTTCTCTGAGGGACCTTAAGTGAATCTCTTAGAATACTCCTTGTATCCTAGTTTCTCTGGAGGTGTGTATTATAGGCTGGTGATCCTTTACTGTATGTCTGAATTCCATATATGAGTGAGTTCATATCATATTCCCCTTTTTGTGACTGGGTTACCTCATTCAGGATGGTTTCTCCAAGTTCCATTCACTTGCCTGTGAATTTCAAGATTCCATTTCTTTTTCTGTAAAGTAGTATTCCATTGTGTAAATGTGCCACATCTTCTCTAACCATTCTTCGTTGAGGGGCATGTAGATTGCTTCCAGGTTCTTGCTATTACAAATAATGCTGCTATGAACATATTTGAGCACATGTCTTTGTTGCATGGATGTGAATCATTTGGGTATATGCCTAAGAGTGGCATTGCCGGACCTGTGGTAGACTGATTCCCATTTTCCTGAGGAACCAACATACTGATCTCCAAAATGGCTGTACAAGTGTGCACTCCCACCAGCAGTGGATGAGCGTTCCCCTTCCTCCACATCCTCTCCAACATAATTATTTTTGAAGTTCTTCAAATTTTTTATACACTTACATTTTTAAATAAAAATAATTTTTGGTTTTACATTGTAATGTCTCTTTTGGTTACTCAAGTTTCTACACAGTAAATCATGATTTTAAAATAGACAAGTACCATCTCAGTTGTCATAGGTTTATATTCTTTTCCCTGACACTTAATTTTAAGCTTCTTGGAGAGTATATGAGTTTATTTGGGGATATTTTAAGATGGACATTGGCATTACATTAACTTCCAATGTCCTTTACTCATCTCTTGGTACAAGAAGAAATGTGTATGAACCCCGGGACTTTCCATATGACCTTTCCCTAAGAACCCAGCTGTCCCCATCTCCCACATCATAAAAGTAGAAATGAGCTCCGTCCAGAATTTATGCCCCTTCCTATAAACCTGCACCTAATCCTCCAGCCTGCACCAGGACCTCCTGAAACAGAAGAAGACCTGGCATTTCCCATGGTAGTCATTGCTTCTCATTTGCAGTATGAGCAACTGCTTTTGCTATCGTGATTCTATTGTTGCACAAAGATAGTCTTAATGTGATTATAATGCCTGGAACGTATTTTGTAAAGAATTATTATTTAAATATGTATCTTATGAGTAACTCATTTCCATTGTATTTCATTATGGATAGCTTTTTTGTTTACTTTGATTAATCCCATACATAGTCACTGTAGTTTTATGAATGCAATCATATAGTTGTGGATATTTTCAACTCAAAAGGCTGTGTCTTTAGTCCAGGAATGCGTAGAAACGTCTGGTTTTAGACAAATGTAATTTGTAATGATAGGTTTACTCAAATAAATTTTGAATGAATTAAAGTCTTGTTTGGCAATAATAATAATAATAAAACTAGTGAGTATACAATAAACATTGATTGATACATTAGTAATTTTACTTCTCCGAACAATTCAGTGGTTCAAGAGGGAAGGGTCTTTGGCTGGAGAGATGGTGGCTCAGTGGTTAAGACAAGCTGCTAATCCAGACAAGAGAATTCAGGTTTGGTTCCCACCATCCACATTGCAGTTCACTATAAGTCACTTCTCTCCCTTGGCCTGGTTGCATTCCCCGTTAGCACATTTCCTTGGTAGGTATCCCATTAATCTGTCATCTCTACCATCTGATTTCTGATGCCATTACAGGGCATCAGTGCCCCAGGAAGTGGAGTTACAGATGGTTGTGTGCTGCTGTGTAATGGCTTGCTATTAAGCATACGTCCTAAGGAAGAGCAGCCCATACCATTACCCTGTAAATCCATTTCTCTATCCCTTTCTTGTCGTGTCATATTTCATGTATGTCATCTAATGTATGTGTTAAGGTTAGTTTTGTTGCCATTTGAAGGGTTTCCTTCAAGGGTTGTAATACAAACTTTACTCTTTTCAATGGCAAACTTCTCAACTTTTTTATTTATTTATTTTTTTACTTCTCAACTTTTTAAACCATTTATTTATATACAGTGTAGTAGTGAAAGATATTAGCCAGGAAACTGTCAGTAGATAGGTGTAAGACAACCAGTAAAACTATTTGGTTTCATGGTCTTTATTAGTTACCTTATTTAATCATTTTTCATTTAGTAGAATAAATCTCCCAGGACCTCTTCAATTATCACTCACTACCCTCTGAAGGTGGGAAAGATGTGTATCTACTGTAGGTATGACAGAAAATCACATTAAGAAAGTATAAAATGCAAGCATTAAAATTTTAATTGTGTACCTGTTACCTATAGGGGTACATTTTTACCAAAAATATAAGGTATATACTGAGGGAAGGGATGGCACACATAGAGAGAAGAAGCAGATGCTTCATCCTGAGTTGTTCGCTTAGGCTACCTCAGTAAGATTACCTAAGAGCCTGTTGGAAAGGTCATCAGCACACTGCAAAAGAGTTTTTTTTTTTTCCTATTGAAATTCCCAAGGTTCTCATGGTAGTTTGGGGACCCTAATGAGGAATACTATTGTATTTGTGTCCAGTTTTTCTCTGCACTGGCCAGGGGGAGTGGAACATGTCAGGGTCACTTGGATCTGGAAACTCATGAAGTTCTCCTGCTTTAATTTTCCTGTCAAGATGGGCCAGCATCCTCCATGTTGGAATACAAGAAGAATGTCACTAAAACAGTTCCTGGGGTAAGTACTGGAAACTGACTTCTACCCAAGAATCCAAAACTAGTTTCTCTGTTTTATTAGAACAAGGTGAGAGCTCTTCTACTTTGTGATATTAAAATATTAATATAATATACCTGTACTTAGGGTTAACATTCTCATTGTTGGCTTGTAACCTTCTGCGAAATAGTACAGATCACAAGATAGGTTTAGATGGTCCATGTAATCCATGCATTTTGTCAGGCTACATCAGAAAGAGGGTAAATTAAAAGCCAGTGTGGGCTATATAAGCAGATCTTGTCTCAAAAATCCACATAGGCTTGCTAAATGGCTTACAGGTTAAGAGCCCTGGCTGCTCTCCTAAAGAACTTGGGTTTAATTCCCAGCACCTTCTTACCTCCTGTTTCAAGGGATCTGAAGGCTTATTGTATCCTTCCAGAAAACTGAATGTATATAGCATGAAGATGTACATGCAGGAAAACACCCATTCCTGTTAATGAAAAAAAAAATTAAGATAAAAAAAAAAAAACAGAGAAAGAAGCCCAATATGTCACCCTAAAAGAAACTTTTACATGAAATTCAAAGCTTGTTTAAGTGCTGTACATGATTTCAGATTTTCTCCCTTGAAATCTTATTTAAATCTTTTTTTAGTTATATTTATTATTTTATCTTGTTGTAGATACTGATCCGTGTTCCCTCTATCCCATGACCCCTGGTACCCTTCCCATCCTATTCCAGTAACCCTCCACTGGGAGGGTGATGCCTTCCAGTTGGGATCATCTAAATCTGTCAAATTATTTGATGTAGGGACTAGGCCCTCCCTCCTGGCTCTAGGCTAAGTGTATATACTTCCATGGAGAATGTGCACCCAAAGTCCTTTCGTGCACTAGGGATACATCCTGGTTCCACTGTCAGAGGCCTCTTAGACTTACCAGGCCTTCTACCTGAGACCCACGTTCTGGTGTTCTAAGTCGGTCCAATGCTGATTACCCAGTTATCAGTTTTGGGTACATGAGTTTCCTGTTTTTCAGGTAGGCTGCCTCTGTGAGTTTCTGTAACCTGACCTTCACCCTTTTCTCAACATCCCTCCCTCTCTGCAACTGCATTCTGGGAGTTTGGCTCAGTGTTTAGCTGTGGGTGCTGCTTCTGTTTCCATCAGCTACTAGATGAGGGTTCTATGATGGCATATAAGTTAGTTATCAATCTCATTATCAAGGTAAGGCATTTATGGTAGCCTTTCCACTATTGCTCACATTGTGAGTTGGGGTCATTCTTATAGATCTCTTGGCAATTCCCTAGTGCCAGATTTCTTTTAAAACCTGTTATGACTCCCTCTATTATAATGTCGCCTTTCTTGTTCTCTCCTATTCTTTCCCTAACTCAATCTTCCTGTTCCATCATGCCTACCTCTCTCATCATTTTCTCCCTAACTCCCACCACCCACAATTCTCCCAATTTACTATGGAGATCTTGCCCATTTCTCCTTCTCCACGGTACAATATATGTCTCTCTGAGGGTCCGCCTTGTTTCCTAGCTTCTCTGGCATTGTGGATTGTCAGCTGGTCATCCATTGCTCTGTCTAAAAGGCATATATGAGAGAGTACATACCATGTTTGTCATTTTGTGACCGGGTTACCTCATTCAGGATGGTTTCATCTAGTTCCTTCCATTTGCCTGCAAATTTTCAGATTACGTTGTTTTTTCCCTCTGAATAGTATATCAATATGTAAATGTAACGCATTTTCTCCATCCATTTTTCAGGTGAGAATATAATGCTTCCATGAACATAGCTGAACAGATGTCCTTGTTGTATGAGTGTGCATATTTTGGGTATATGCCTAAGAGTGGAATTACTGAAACTCGAGGTACACTGACCCCTTTTTTCTGAGGAACCACCAACCTGATTTCCAAAGTGTCTGTCCGAATTTGCACTCCCACCAGCAGTGGAGGAATGTACTACAGTCTCCATATCTTCTCCAGCATAAACTGTCATTGGTGTGTTTGATTTTAGCTATACTGACAGGATTAAGATGATATCTCAGAGTTTTTTGATTTTCATTTCCCTGGTGGCTGAGGATTTCTTAGATGTGTCTATTTAGTTCTGTACCGTAATTTTTAATTGGAATATTTGGTGTTTTGGTACCTAGCTTCTTGAGTTCTTTGTCATTGTGGAAATCAGCCCTCTGTTAAAGATCTTTTCCCATTGTTTGGGCTGCCATTTTGTCTTGTTGACTGTGTCCTTTGTCTTAAAGAAGCTTTTTAATTTCAAGAGGTTTCATTTATTAATTGTTGATCTTAGAGTTTGTAGTACTGGAGTTATGTTCAGGAAGCAGTCTCCTGTACCAATTTGTTCATGGATACCTCTCACTTTCTCTTCTGGGAGGTTCTGTGTGGCTGGATTTATGGTGAGGTCTTTCTTTGATCTATTTAGACTTAAGTATTATGCATGGTGATCTGGAGTCTTCTACAGGTCAGCCTCCAGTTATGCCAGCATAGTTTGTTGAAAATGCTTTTTATATTCCATTGTATAATTTTAGCTGCTTTGTCAAAAATCAGGTATTGGTAGATGTATGGGTTAATATCAGTGTTTTAAATTTGATTCCATTGGTCTTCCAATCTATTTTTGTGACAGTTCCAAGCTGTTGTCAGGACTATAGCTCTACACTAGAGCTTGAAGAAAGGGATAGTGATGCCTCCAGAATGAAGTTCCTTTATTATACAACGTTGTCTAGCCTACCCTGAGTCTACTGTTTTTCCATATGTATCTGAGTATTGTTCTTTCAAGGTTGTGAAGAATTGTGCTGGGGTTTATCATAGGGATTGCATTGAATCTGTAGATTACTTTTGGAAAGACTGCTATTTTTACTATGCTGATCCTACCTATCCAAGAGTATGAGAGATCTTCCCATTTTATGGTATCTTCTTTAATTTTTTTCTTTAAAGACTCAAAATTCTTATTAAATAAGTTATTCACTTGTTTGGTTAACATTACCCAAGCTATTTTATGTTGTCTTGGATAATGCAAACAAAAGGAGACGTTTCTATGATTCCTTTCTCAACCCCTTTATCATATGTATATAGTAGGGTTAGTGATTATTTTTTTTATATTTTTAGTTAATTTTGTATCCTGCCACTTTGATAAAGGTGTCTATCAGTGGTAGGTATTCCCTGATATAACCTGTCATATCATCTTCAAATAGTGAAAGTTTGATTTGTTACTTTCAATTTGTATTCCGTGGATCTCCTTTTGTTGTCTTAATGCCCTAGCTAGAACTTCAACTACAATATGGAAGAGGTGTGGGAAGAGTGAAGACAGTAAAACTACTTAGAATAACAAATAAGCAGCTCCTGCACCTTTATGGGATACTGAGCCTATCCCCATCCTTACTAGAATGTAATGGACTGCTTTCTTCTATGCCTCACACACCCAGGAAATGAGCTGTTAATCAAATGTCTTTCCTTACTGCTGATTATTACTCTGTTACAGAAGGCAAGTGTGCCCAACTTTGTCCCTGCTGAATGCCAACCAGCTGGCCATGGCTTGATTCCTCTATTTGTTCCCAAGGTAAGAGGCCCTGGAGGCCCTGCCTTACCAGGTGATCCTAGAGGACAGATCCCACCAACATCTCCTCAACCAGGAAACACCTGTGCATATCCTCAACAGTATGTCCCACTAAGGGACTTTGAAGGCCTGCAGTTTGCTCCAATGCCATGTAGGCTTTTTTAAAATTAAGTGTTTGTGTCAGTGCTTATCTGTGCTTTCCATCAAGTTTGCTTCCTTTTTACTGGGAGAAACACTAACCAGAAGCAACTTGAGAGGGAAAGGGTTTATATGGCTCACAGGTTACTGTCCAGCATCAAAGGAAGAGGAAGCTTCACCTTGAGCAATATTAGACAAATTTGAATTTGAATTTTAACTGTAATATTATAGGTCAAAAGATCATTGAATGTATAAGCAGGTTTTTGTTTTGCTTTGTTTTTCTCCCCAAGGCTGGGTTTCCCTATAGCTCTGGAGCCTTAACTGGAAGGCTATCCTGGTCTGTGCTTCCCAAATACTGGGATTAAAGACCTGTGCCACCATTGTTCACTTGCAAGCAGTTTTAATGTTAAGTATATGTGTATTTCATGTAATATAAGTGTATATTTAAAATAATTACTTAGATGTTTGTCTTATGATTACTGGCTAATTTGTTTTAAAGTATTAAGTATGTCTCCTAAGTGGTGGTTCCCACATGATCCTAATTAAAATCTAAGATCATATTTAGTCATTTATTGAATTATTTGAAATTCTTTCCTACCCTTACATTTTAAAATAAAAGTAATTTATTAATTTTACAGCATAATTTCCCCCTTGGAATCACGTGTTTCCACACAGAAAATCATATTTTCAATACTAGACAAGAACTAGCTTAGTTGTCCTAGGTGTCTGCTCTGTGCCCTCACCTCTAGTCTTAAGTTTATATGAGCATGCCATGAGTTTTTTTTTTTTTTTTTTGGGTGGTGGAGTGGTTTAAGGTTGACAGGAAATGCTTCAAATAGGATATCAGGTCGAGATCACTGACCTGAATGTTAAGTTTCAAAGTTTTAATGTATTGAAAATCTTATTTCCAGTAAGTCTGCACTGTATTGAGATCTTGCATAGCTGCCATTGACAAACACCTTTGAAATTTTTTGTGATGTTATTATTATTCCTATGTAGCTAAAATGTCCATTTTGTAAAGTCAAGATTTATTTGTCAGATCAAATATTGTGGTATAAATGTTTGGATACCAAAATAAGGGCTGGAACTAGTGGTTTAATAAAGGTGCAGTACAGGGTTTCAACTCCCACTGTCTTTTTCCTGTCTCTTGAAACAGGGAGAAATGTGCGCAAATGAAGGGGCTTTCCATCATATCTTCCCCCAAGATTCAAGTTCTTCCACCACTCTTACATCTCAAAGTAGAAATGAGAGTTCTCAGGACTTGAATCCTACTCTCAGTCAACATGCACCAGAACCTCCATCCTGCACTGGAACATCTGGAGACAGAGGAGACCTGACCGATTCCTCGGCATCCATTTTCTTTTTAGATGAAGTTCAGGTAACTGATGTTCCTATGTGACAATATTGTTCCTCAAACCAAATGGTACCAGAATAGCATTTTGTAAATAAGGATGATTTAACTCTGAATCTTATTGATAATTTTTTTTCCATTTTATATAATTCTGTATAGTATTTTTCAGGTGGACCACCTATTCCTAATTATGGTAGTTTTATAAATGCAATTTTGTTGTTGATCTATCTTAAACTAGAAATGCTTTGTATTTTACCTGGAATGTGTTCACCATGGTTTTAGACAAATGTAGAGGTAATGTACTTTTAATCAAATAAATTTCAATTGATTAAATAATCTTGTTTGGCATTGCTCATACAAAATAACAACAACAACAACAAAAAAAAAAACAAAATAAATAACCAAAAACACAGTCAGGTTTCCATAAACATAATTGCATAATGTAGATACCATCTTACCCCTGCCAGAATGGCTAAAATTAGAAACACCAATGATGACTTATGTTGGAGAGGGTATGGAAAAATTGGAACACTCCTCCACAGCTGGTGGGAGTGCAAACTCATACAGCCATTTTGGAGATCAGTATGGCGGTTCCTCAGGAAAATGGGATTTAGTTTACACAGGACCCAGCAATCCAGCTCTTAGGCATACACCAAAAGGATTCACATCCATGCAACAAAGATATCTGTTCAACTATGTTCATAGCAGCACTATTTGTAATAGCAAGAAACTGGAAGCAACCTAGATGCTCCTCAATTGAAGAATGGTTAATGAAGATGTGGCACATCTACACAATGGAATACTACTCTGCAGAAAAAAAAATAATGGTATCTTGAAATCCGCAGGCAAGTGGATGGCACTTGAAGAAACCATCCTGAATGAGGTAACCCAGTCACAAAAAGAGGAACACAGAATGTTCTCACTCATATGTGGATTTTAGAACTAGAGCAAAGGATCTCCAGCCTATAATTCACATCACCAGAGGAACTAGGATACAAGGTGTATTCTAAGAGATTCCTATAAGTCCCTCACAGAACTGGGAAAGGACAAGTCCCCCAGAGCTCAGGTGAAGTGGGGGGGGCAGCGAATGGAGAGAGAAGTAGGAGGAAACGAGGGGGGGAAGGAAAACATGTGCGACCAGGAAGATTGAGCCTGGTTAGGAATAGAAGATAGGAAAGAGATAGATAGAGAGACAGAGACAGACAGAGAGAACATAAAAGAGGGAGCCAATATTGGTTTGAAGATAAAATGAACACAAAGAAAGGTCTAGAGAAGTACAAGACTGCTCCCAACTAACAACTTGAGCTTCCGTGGAAAGGCTATCATAAATGCCCTTCCTGGAGAATGAGAACAACAACTAACTTATCCATTGAGCCCTCAACTAATGCCTGTTGAAAATAGGAGCAAACACCCATACATAAACACTGAGTCGAACTAGAACCCAGAGAGCAGATGGAGAGGACAAGACCAGGTGGCAGAAACACATACAGACAGCTTACCTGAACAAGGAGGAGCTAACGGACACTAGACTGATAGCTGGGAAACCAGAATGGGACTGACTCAGGCCCCCCTGAATATGGGTCTCAGCCAGAAGGACTGAGCAGTCTAAGAGACCTCAGACAGTGGAGCCAGGATGTATCCCTGGGGCACAAAAGGACTTTTCGAACACATTCCCCATGGAGGGATAACTGCCTTAACCTAGAGACAGGAGAGAAGCCCTTGTCCCTACTTCAAATAACATGTCAGATCTACATGACCCCAACTGGATGGCATGACCCTACATATGGAATTGGGGTGAGGGGAGGGGAGGGGAGGGTGGTTAGAGTGCATGTGGGAGGGCAGAGAGGGTAAAAGAGAGGGAAGTAGGGAGGGAGGAATGGAGGGAGATAGGGAGGGATGGAGGGAGGAAGGGAAGGTGGGAGGGAGAGAGGGAGAGGGAACTGGAATCGACATGTAAAATAATAAATTAAATTAAAAAAAAAAATGCTTTGACTCCAAAATTTAAGTTCAAGGACAAGTTACTAGGGAAAAAGATTTCTATTTTTGTTTCCACAGAAAATGACAAGATGTAGATTCCTTCCAGACTAATGTGATTTGATCAAGCCAGACCACCTGAAACAGAGTACCAGGTGATCCTACATTCAACACAGCTGTACAAAGCAGCCTTACAGTCTACTGCCAGGATTTCTGCATCTTCTTCAAATCCCCTGTGACAGTGCCCCTTACCAGCAGGAAGCAGTTTGGAAAGAACAATGCCCAAATTCCCAAATATTGTCTATAAATGTTTGTTTTCATTTAAATGGACTTGGTTATATAAAATAAATAAATGAAAAAAAATATATAAAACTCTGTTACTTCTTCAGAACCATCCCTACCGGCAAGCTGCCTTTCTCTTCACATGTTGATAACAGTCTAAGCCACCAAGACTGTAAGCAAGCCCCCAGTTAAATGTTTCCACTTACAGGAGCTTCCTTGGTCATGGTGTCATTTCAAAAAGCATTAGCACAGTAACTAAGATATAGAAATGTGAGGTTTCAAAACACCTGTGCTATATTCAGTTCTTCCTGCCTCCTACTTGTGGATGAAAAAGAGAGTTCTCAGATTTTCCTGCTGCTGTCGTGCTTTTCTTCCACCATCTGAAACTATGAGCCCAATTAACCACATTCTTTTATAAGATGCCTTGGTCATGGTGCTTTTCACTGCAACAGAGAAGTAACTGAGACAATGACCTTCAATTTACAATCTTCCTGTTGTCTCTAAGAACTAGGATTATAGGAATGTGTGAGCATGCTTGACTTAGTCTGTTTGTAAGCTTTGATTTTCTCCAAGTGAAAAAAATCTTAAGCTTTCTAAACTCTGTGGCCAAAGAGTTTTATTTAAACATCGACAGTTTGTGTTTCATATACAATAAAATACATTACAATGGTCACTTTTTAATGCTTTCTTCAGTGATTAAAAGAATATATATTTTACATAAACTATACAACATCCATCATTGGGTCAAACATTTTGCTGGTTTCCTTACAGGTTCTGTCAGGAGTTGCTTTATCTGATGACCTGTACGAGAGAAACTCTTACCACATCTGGAATTTACACACACTGTGCCAGTGGATTCACACTACAGATGCACATATAAAATCCCCATAGTATGTGCTCACTGGACAAAACAGCGTACACCTGTAAAAAGTTCATTTAATATAAGATGGTAAAACCATTTTAAGATATATAAAGTTGTTCCATAAATAAATTGTGTTTCCAAACTTCCAATGGAGCAGCCATGTCTCAGCACTGCTAGCCACCCATGTCTACTACTTACTGTATTATTGGAGGATGTCTTTAACGTTAATGTATGTACCATAGCAACTCACACCTGTCATGGAACAAGCTTTTGTGTTTCCTATCTTTCCCTTCCATTCTCTCTTCACTCAAATGCATGTTTTCCTTGTCTTTTTTTTTCCATCACTCCTCCGAGGATGCTGACACACAGCAGAGCTGTGTACCACAAGTCAAAATTTGACATTAAATATTACAATCTAGCAGCATCCAGCTGGCCAAAGTGGCCAGACCCTGCCAGCATGTGGGCACTTTTTCATGCAGAGCTATTCTCTGCCAGCTGACATGCATGCTGACAGAGAGAATCCTGTGACTTGTTATGGATTTTATGACTAATATTGTTTTGCAAGCCTATGTGACTACAGTTCTGTGCTTTCACTTAGCCTTTAAGTATTCCCTGGAATACAGTTCCTTTCTTCCTCCACTGTTTTGATATCTAGGCTGAAGAAGCTAACTTGAATGTAAGAGGTGAAAAAGCTTAAGTAGGATATAGCCTAAAATATCCAGCAATTTGAGTGTTCAGTTTATATAAATGCATTTAAAAAGGATGAAAAAATATCTAACTTATACTATATGAAATTCAGAATGGCAATTGGCAGTATCAATTATTATATAGTTAATAAAAGTTAAACTCAGGTTTCTGTTAAAGATATCTCATTTGGGACACTACCTTCCCTTCTATTTTAAACCAAAATCAATGAGATGCTACCGGAATACATAGATAAAGTGCATTGGATTCAATCCACCTGGCTATGCTATGAGTGTGTGTGTGTGTGTGTGTGTGTGTGTGTGTGTGTGTGTGTGTATTTAGATTCTGAGCTCGGCATTTTGAAAAAGAAAGAATAAAAATGTCCAAAAAGCAGAGTACCTCAATGAAAAATTTAGGCAGCAACCTCAGATAATTATTGGCTACTTGCCCTTAAGGTGTGGCAACAATCTAATCAACCAAGAAAGCCCTGTACAATGTAACATTCTACTAGTGAAACCAATACCTAACTATTTTCTTTGATCAAGAAATAGAATATACATGTATAATCCTATAAAGCTGATTTGACACAGCACAAAATGTTTGGTTTACTATACTGAAAAAAAATACTAAGACCCTACTTGCATATCTGGCCACAGAAATTATACATTTTACAAAACATAATGTCTTCATTGAAGTTTAGTATCTCTCTGTAAAAATGACAATTTGGTTTAGTGAAGACACTGAGTGATTCAATGTCCAGGACTGCTTGCCAAGGTTGACCAAGGCCCAGCGATACTTGCTCTGCTCAATAAGGTTATGCACGGGATCCACATCATCCTTGGTTAGTTCACCTTGGTAAAAATTAATGCTTTCTTCAGTGACTGCAAGCATTTGAGATGAGAGCCACAAAGACCAGCAATAGCAATGAGGTTGGGTGCCCACATCGTATCATCTTAAATATAAGAAGAAGGCATCTGTCTTTCTTTTCTGTTTTATTCTGTCTTTGGTAAGTTTACTCTGTTCCTCGATAAGTGCTTCATAAGAAGCTACACATTTGTATTTCACCATGTCAGTCCTTTCCCTTTAAAACAAATTGAGAATAAAAAAATTCATGAATACCTAGGTGTTTCTTACTGTCTTAAGAATGTCACAGAGTTGTGAGCTTTCAAGTGGTATTTCACTCAGCAAAAAAAAAAAAAGACATTTGGATAATGATTTATCATAAGGAATACATTTTATTTCACAC